TGAAGGCACAGCACCTGCGACAAGTGCAACATTTGCAGCAGCAGGTGGGCAGCAAGGAGCAGGTGGAGGTGCTTCATGCTCAGTTGGAGGAGGAGAGCTGGAGGAGTCGGCAGCTGGAGGAGGCCATGAAGCTGCAGGTTCAGCAGAGCACCTCTCAGATCAGCGTGATGCAGGTAGGCCAGCTGCAGACACATCTGTCTGGTTTCTGTAGAACCTAACGCTGACATGTTCCTCTGTGTTGCCTTCAGGAACAGTTTGAGAAGGCAACAGCGGCGCTGCAGCAGCAGGTCAAAGACCTGGAGGTCCAATTGAAAGGGCTCCGTCTGGTTTTGCAGGAGAAGATCCAGCAGCTCAAAGAACAGGTGAGTTTCAGGTTCAGTTTCAGGTCTGGTTCCTTCTGTTGTCTGTGGTTGACTCCGTGTCTCATCTGCAGCTGGAGAAGAACAACAAGATGAACGGGATGCTGAAGGATCTGTACGTGGAGAACTCACAGCTGATTAAGGCCCTGCAGGTCACTGAACAGAGGCAGAAACAGGCTGAGAAGAAGAACTTCCTGTTGGAGGAGAAGGTCGGAGCGCTGCACAAACTGCTGCGAGAGGCCGTCACCACTGCACTGTCCACGTGACGTCTTCACATGTCCTCACATGGCTGGTCTGAGGTCAGTCTGTCCTCACACAGCTGGTCTGAGGTCAGTCCTCACACGGCTGGTCTGAGGTCAGTCCTCCCTCAGCTGGTCTGAGGTCAGTCCTCACACTGCTGGTCTGAGGTCAGTCCTCACACGGCTGGTCTGAGGTCAGTCCTCACACAGCTGGTCTGAGGTCAGTCCTCACACAGCTGGTCTGAGGTCAGTCTGTCCTCACACGGCTGGTCTGAAGTCAGCCTGTCCTCACGCGGCTGGTCTGAGGTCAGTTTGTCCTCACACAGCTGGTCTAAGGTCAGCCTGACTTCACACAGCTGGTCTAAGGTCAGTCTTTTTTCACACAGATGGTCTAAGATCAGTCTGTCCTCACACAGCTGGTCTAAGGTCAGCCTGACTTCACACAGCTGGTCTAAGATCAGTCTGTATTCACACAGCTGGTCTAAGATCAGTCTGTATTCACACAGCTGGTCTAAGATCAGTCTGTCCTCACACAGCTGGTCTGAGGTCAGTCTGTCTTCACACAGCTGGTCTGAGGTCAGTCTGTCCTCACACAGCTGGTCTGAGGTCAGTCTGTCTTCACACAGCTGGTCTGAGATCAGTCTGTCCTCACACAGCTGGTCTGAGGTCAGTCTGTCTTCACACAGCTGGTCTGAGGTCACACAGCTGGTCTGAAGTCAGTCTGTCCTCACATAGCTCGTTTGAAGTCAGTTCTCACACAGCTGGTCTGAAGTTAGTCTGTCCTCACACAGCTGGTCTGAGGTCAGTCTGTCTTCACACAGCTGGTCTGAGGTCACACAGCTGGTCTGAAGTCAGTCTATCCTCACATAGCTCGTTTGAAGTCAGTTCTCACACAGCTGGTCTGAAGTTAGTCTGTCCTCCCACAGCTGGTCTGAGGTCAGTCTATCCTCACATAGCTCGTTTGAAGTCAGTTCTCACACAGCTGGTCTGAAGTTAGTCTGTCCTCACACAGCTGGTCTGAGGTCAGTTTGTCCTCACACAGCTGGTCTGAAGTTAGTCTGTCCTCACACAGCTGGTCTGAGGTCAGTTTGTCCTCACACAGCTGGTCTGAGGTCAGTCTGTCCTCACACAGCTGGTCTGAAGTCAGTCTGTCCTCACACAGCTGGTCTGAGGTCAGTTTGTAGACCGTCACGTTGCAGGGTCCTGAGCTGCCATCATATGTCTGATTTTGTCTCTCGTGTGATCTTCAACATCTGGCAGCTGCTGGAAACCATCAGGTCTACGTTTGTGTGGGATGAACATCATGTCAGTTTCTGATGTACAAACTGGACTCAGAGATTATTTTTTAGAAGGAAATTAATTTTTTATATTTTTTAATGTGATGTGTCAATGAACTGAATCAGCTTTAAACTTAATTTTCATAAAAATGTATTTTCAATAAACATATTCTGAATAGATGTTGGATTTAATATTTTATAAGCTCATTCTGAACAGTTGTCAGAATAAAGAATCACTTTTCTGTCATATTAAAGAAAAACAAGTTTTCATTTTACAGAACCAGATTCAGATATTATCAGAATATTCTTCCAACAGATAATCAATAATTAAGAAATCACATATGAACAATTCCTGAGTTAAAGGTGAGCAGAACACCAGCTGAAGCTTCAGCTGCTATCACCAGCCAAAGCTCAAACATCTTCAGCAGTCGAGTCTCCGAGGCAACAGGTCCAGGAGACAAAGCCAGACCTGCCTCTCTCCAGAGACACTCCAGTCACACCTGGGGGACCCCAAGGTGTTCCCAAGCCAGAGAGGATCTGTAATCATTCCAGAGAGTTCTGGGTCTGACCCAGGGCCTCCTCCCAGTGGGAGTGTCCTGAAAACTACCCAGATCAGATGAACCTCCTCAGCTGACTCCTTTAATTCCTTTTATTCTAGAATTGCGCCGCTCAAGGTGGCTGCATGTTGGAGCAGCTCTGTTACTTTCATTCTGAGATTTTGCTTTTGGAAACTTTAATTCCTCTTTTCCTGGATGTAAATCATATTTTTTGGATGATTGTTTCCTCTGGTATCTGATGCTGTGCAGCTGGAAGGATTTTTACTGAAACTTTTTTAGTTTTGGACATTTGCTATGATGCGTAACCATGGCAACAAGGCAGTTTTCTACAACCAACAGCAGCTGATTAACATCTCAAAAGCTCAAATAATATCTCAACTACAGCCCCAAATCTCAAATGAGATGAAAAGGATGTTCTGTGGACGCATTCTCATCTACCTGCCAGCTGTGCTCGAGTGTCTGACCACTGAGATCCTGGAACTAGCAGGAAACACGGCTCATGACAGCTGAAGGACAGGATCGTCCCTCAGCACCTACAGTTGGCTGTCCGCAGCAACGAGGAGCTCGGCAGACTGCTGGGAGGAGTGGCCATCGCTCTGGGAGGAGTTCTGCCCAACATTCAGGCGGTCCTACAGCCTGAGAGGGAACCGAGAGGCCAGCCAAGTCTGGGTGGACGGATTGGATGGCATCTGCAGCCAGTTTCTTAGGATCCACTGGGATGGATCTTTACAAGAGATCCTTCCTGTCTACAGCCATCAGCATCTATAACATCTCTTTATGAAATGCAGACAACAAGTTACAACAATAAATAATTTCCCTTTGGGATTAATAAAGTTTTTTTGAATTTGAATGTAAAACAGCAGCAGTTCTACTCCGAGCTCTTCCTCTTAATGCTAAGGTTGAGCCCCCCACCCCCACCACACACACACTCTACAAAGGAATCCCATTTCAGCTGCTTGGATCCAGGATCTGGTTCTGTCAGTCCAGATCAAAACCTCATGACCACAGGTGAGTGCTGGAACGTAGACAGATCAGTAAATCCAGAGCTTTGCCTTCAGAATCTTCACCATAACTGACCAAAGCAACACCCTCATTACTGAGGATGAGGCCTTGATCTGTGGATCCATCCTACCACTCAGAAACTAGACGCTCCGGCAGACTCCCCTCACCTGGAGGGAGCATTCCATCTTTTTCTTATTGAGAACCATGGCCTCTGACTTTGAGGAGCTGACTCCTCGCTGTGAGAACGAGCTCGACTTTGCCCCGAGTGTCAAGGTCAAATCTAAAGAGAGAACCCTGGATTTTAAAGAAGATAAAAACACGTTTTACATTTACTTTGTATGATCAGATGTGTTGTACATCTGCAGATTCAGAGAAAAATTGAACAATCACACACAGGCGTGGCACAGATCCTGGGGGTTGGGGAGAAACCCCCAATTTAGCAAAATTTTATACTGACCCCCCCCAAAAAAAGAGGAAACTTTAAAGCAATATAAACAAAAGACAGAAGAACCACCAGATAGATTTGTGTCTGGAAGCAGCAGGGCAGTTCAGACTTGTTACACCTGCTGGACGGGTGGGGGGGTGGGGTGTTAGTGTTCAATCCCTGGTGAGAGGTGTTTTCATTTTTATTCTATTCAAACCAAAATATTCAGTCTTTATTTGTACGTTTAAGGGATCTCTGATCAGTAGAAACAACAAATCTGCTTTCATCATTTATATTGACAGACTCCACATTAAATCAATGTCTGAATAATATTTTATTTGAATTACTGGATTATTTATGTTTGTTAACACGTTTTATTTAGAGCTTTTAATCTTGTAAAGTTGCTACAGATCAGTGACGACAAAATGAATCCAAACCAAATGAAATCTTCAGCCTGGTTCTGAGGAAAACATCTGTATGTGATGTCCTCTGACAGTTTCTTGACACGTTTCCATGGCAACCTCCTAACTCTGCACAAGTCCTATTGTGTCTGTGCTCGTGATTAGTTTTTAATTTTGGACGTTATCGTTGTGTATGGAAGCATGTCAGATACTCTTGTTTTATCTTTTAGTAAAAAGAAGAAAAGCTGTTGTTTAGTCACATGACCACTTGACCAGGAAGTGATTCAAGAGACGTATTGTTTGTTTCTGCTGCTCAGGACTGTGGTGTCATGTTGATGTGATGCTGAGTCCAGAAGAACCGAAGTTCATGATCTTCTTCAGTGCTGGGGGAGGCAGCAGTGTCAGTGCCATGTGAAAGGCTTTTCTCCAAAGTTGGAAAGTTATTTACAATGAAAACCGTAAGAGTCCTAGCACAGCTGGGGAAAATACTCTTAATATAAACTATGGTTACCATGACGCCTGTATTCATCAGCACATTCAAAAACTGTAGCAAAAAAATTTTGTTTCCTCCATTCAGAGACCTCTGTTATCATTAACCATACACTAAATAAACCTTAAAATAAAGTTTAGTTGGTTTAATTTGAATTCAGGATCAGTTTCAGACAAAATGACAACATGAAGAGTAAAAAAAAAAAAACTTTATTAGTCTGGAGCTGGAACATGGTGAGCACACCTCCACCGTCAGGACACCACGTGCTCCAGGACGCCCTGACGAATCAGCTGCTCGCATTTCCACCGCGGCAGGAAGTGCTGAGGACAAAAACAAGAACCACTTCCTGTGAGACTCGGGGCTGAAGGTTCGTTCTCTGTGTGTGACCACCCGCCCGCCCGCCCGCCCACCTTGTCAGCAAGTGGTGCAGGTTTGTAAACCCTGCTCATTTCCAGTAAATGACACCACGTTTGTTAGAATAATGCATTCTGGGAGTTGACTGTGGCGCAGCGGTAGGACTGTTATCTTGGGAGCAGAAAGCCACGAGTTTGATTCCCTGCCATGCCCCTATGATGAGATGTGTCCTTGAGAAAGTCACCTAATCCTACCTGCTCCTGCTCCACCTGTGTGACGGGTTAAAAACAGAGGGCAATCCTCTCCCTCATTCAAGATGGCTGCCACAGCTAATCAGTGTTATTATTATTATTAATAATATAATAATAACACCTTCTGGGTGTTAATAAAGTTAACACAGAAGTGAATTTTACACACAGTGGACTCAGACTGGGTGTGGTGGTAGCTGAGAGTCGTCCTGGTCACACTCTGAGTGCTAACAGCTTGTTTCATCGAGTCGAGAAGATTTCAAACCATCGTTTCCCAACACAAAACCATCTCTGGCTGAAACTGGGCCATGAGCATTCTTTCGAGGAAGGCTAGGCCTCAGGACATAAATGAATCGGACCTGGTTCTGGCTGTGAACAGCCAGCGGCCGTCAGGGCACTAACGGTCGGTCGTTAGGCTGCTGGTCCTTCTTCTGGGTGTCACCAGCAAACTGGTTGGTCCACCATGAGAAGGTTCTGCTTCTAAGGCTGAGTTTGTTGCAGCTCCTCAGACTGAAGAAGTGTTTTGGATAAAAGACAAAACGTTAAGAAGAATCTGTCCAGAAGACCTGACTCAACCTGGTTACACTGACCTGGTTCTGTTCTTTCTGACCCGCTCTGTTATAGATCCACCTTCCTGGGAGCTCTACTGTATAAATGACTATGGTACTACTTCCTGTCAGACACAGGAAGTAGCAGAAAGCATTGGTAGCGCAGCACAGACCGCAGTTTATTTGAAAGTAATTTACATTTAGTTTAGAAAATATAACTGTTTTTCATTCGTTCACATTTATTTAACTACAATAAAGTTGACTAAAATAGTCGTGCTGAGTTCAGGGACCAGTTGTGTTCAGGGCTGCAGGAACAACCAGACCAAACTAAATCAGTGGCTTCAACAACTGAGTTTTGAACACGGACCCCTGTGAAAAGAGATTTAGTTTCCATCTCCTAGTGTTGTAGTACTCAAGACCAGTCTTGGTCTTGAGACCGGTCTCAAGACCACTTTTTGATGGTCTCGGTCTTGTCTCGGACTCGACTGTATTTGGTCTCGGTCTTGTCTCGGACATTGAGGACTCTGGATCTTATTTCAAGACCACAGTCAGTGGATCACATGACGTGAAAATTATTGTGCAAAAACCACTGGATGTCTGATTTCTTTGTTATGGAGCTTTGAATATTTATAAAAGTTGATACATTCATTCAACAGCAAACTTAATGTTGCAGTATGTAACTTTAATAAAAAATATTTTTATAAAAGTTACATGTTTTTTACATATTTGTTAAAACTGTCACTATGTCGTAACGGTAGAAGACAGATAATCTGTGAAAAAGATTGAGCTCCAAGACTTGAGGTCTTGGTCTCGTACACTCTGGTCTTGGTTTTGACTTGGTCTCGAGTTATGTGGTCTTGACTACAACACTGCCATCTCCTCTCTACAGATGAGGAATTAAGATGAATGTGGCTGAAAAATGTGACCTAGAAGAGACCACCCAGCTGTCTGTGTGCTCATTTCACTTTGTTGACAAACGGCCGACGGAGGAAAACCTGCATCCTACTTTGTGTCTGGATGACAATAAACCACCGGAGAAGAGACACCGGATCCTCAGGATTGAAAACAGTGACGAGAACATCAGGTTTGATTTCAAGTGTATGGAGGTCACAGCTTTATAGTATTTGTTCGTCTTCAGTATTAACATTTTCTCTGCAGTTAACCCAAGCTCAGTGATGGAGGACTTTAAGGCTTTGGCTGGACTCTGTCTGCTTTAAGGGAAATAAGATTGTGCCCCACCTCTTTTAACAAAATTCAAGTTCAAGGTTCTTTATTGTCATTTGAATGACATAATACATAAGGTGGAATAAAATTGTGTACTCAAGTTCCCAGTTATACCCATCCATCCATCCATCCATCCTTTTTCTTCCGCTTATCCGAAGTCGGGTCACGGGGGTAGCAGCCTAAGTAGGGAGGCCCAGACTTCCCTCTCCCCAGCCACTTGGGCCAGCTCCTCCGGGGGAATCCCGAGGTGTTCCAAGGCCAGCCGAGAAACATAGTCCCTCCAGCGTGTCCTGGGTCTTCCTCTGGGTCTCCTCCTGGTGGGACGTGTCTGGAACACCTCACCAGGGAGGCGTCCAGGAGGCATCCTAACCTCATCGATGGTCATGAGCTTTGGATTGTGACCGAAAGAACGAGATCTCGGATACAAGCGGCCAAAATGAGTTTTCTCCGCAGGGTGTCTGGGCTAGAGATAGGGTGAGAAGCTCGATCATCCGGGAGGGACTCAGAGTAGAGCTGCTGCTCCTCCACGTCGAGAGGAGCCAGTTGAGGTGGCTCGGGCATCTGGGTAGGACCTCCTCCCTGACCCGGAGAGGGCACTCTACCCTTTTCCGACTCAAGACCATGGCCTCGGATTTGGAGGAACTGATCTTCATCCCGGCCGTGTCGCACTCGGCTGCGAACCGTTCCAGCGAAATCTGTAGAACATGATCTGATGAAGCCAATAAGACCACGTCATCTGCAAAAAGCAGAGACGCGATCCTAAGGCCACCAAAACGGATCCCCTCAACACCTTGGCTGCACCTAGAAATTCTGTCCATAAAAGTTATGAACAGAATCGGTGACAAAGGGCAACCTTGGCGGAGTCCAACTCTCAGCCGGAACAAGCCCGACTTACTGCCGGCGATGCGGACCAGGCTCTGACACCGGTCATACAGGGACCTAACAGCCAGTTATACCCAAAATATTAAAAAGAAAAAGTATATTTAAAAGTACATTTTTTTTTTTTTTTTTTTAATTGAATTATAAATGTCTAAGATATAAACTAGACAATATGCTGAAAGATCTGATATATGCTATCTTAGATAATTTAGCGTTCAACCTTGTTACTGTGTAGATATTAATAAACCTCAGAGCTTTTCAGGTTGTTCATCGTTTCACCGTCAGAAGAACCGAGTCAGTGAAGTAGCTAAATCTGCTAGTAGAAGTATAATCTGCAGCCACTTCTTCAGCTCGTCCTCCATCTCTCGTCCTCAGCAGGCAGTGGTATGATTATATCGTCTGTCTGAGCTCTGACAGCTGGTGTTCCTACATGTTTAAATTAAATCCACAATGCTCAGAGAAACTACATTAGCTCGTACTGTTCACACATAAACTAACACCGGTTCTGGTCCATGCTGGAAGTCATGCCCATAATTCACGCGAGGCACCATGGGACTAGGAATAAGGTGGATGTTTTTAGGATCGTGGTCTTGTTCGACAGATGGACTCATGTTTGAACCCTTTGGTCTACAGAGGAGTTCAGGGTCCACTCAATGGCTGCAAGAAGCCCAAACCATCATCCCTCCACCACCGTGCTGACAGCTGGGAGGAGGAACAGACCATGGCTGCCATGTTCCAGACCAAGTTCTATAGGAGCAGCGAGGCTGGACTCGGGTCATGGACCTTCGTGACCTCAGGTTACCCTTTGTGGTTCTAATCCCCTTCATGTTCTCACCTGGCTGTTCTTCTTCAGCAGGATCACAGTTCCGTCGTCGATCTCGAAGGTTCCGTGGTCCTTCAGGCACTTCACCTGGAAAAATGATGACAACATCACTGTGAGGTCAGACTGTGTGTGAGAGGTCAGGCGGCTGCGAGCCTCACCTGGATGTAGAGACTCTTTGGAGGCTTCATGTCCTGAGTGACGTCAAGCCCCACCCCCCCGCCGAGGGAGCGCATGAAGGAGGCCAGAGACTTCTTGTACTGACTGAACCACTGCACCTGAACGCACACACATCGTCCTTCAGGTAACTGACAGTGGTGGAGTTTGTGTAAAACAGGAAGTGATGTCACACTGACCTCCTCAGCTGACATATGGAATCGAACGTTGGTGGGCAGCACGCTGCCGTACTCCCACCGCACCGCTCTGATCCTCAGCAGCCGGTCGTACCTGCACACAAACAAACAAACAAACAAAAGGTAAACAAACAGCAGCAGGTGAGGCGGGTCAGGTGACAGTAGGCAGAGTTACAGGTAGGCCAGGACGCAGCGCTGGTTCCTCAGCAGGCAGCAGTGACGCAGCTTGATGGAGGGGATGAGGTCCGAGCGGGCCGAGGATTTGGCTTCATTCCTGAAACAAACACAAACCCAGTTCTGAATCCTTCAGTCCGATAAAAACCACACACCTGAATGTTTTACCTGGACCATCAGTCCACAGGAACGCTGTGGTTCTGTTTGAGGAACTCACACGTCAGCCTGGTTCTGTTCATATAAAGTCTCCATCTCCTGCAGAACCTGCCGCAGCCCGTCCTCCTGGAACGAGACAGAACCAGATCCTGCTGACGTTTACTGCTCCTGGACCAGATCCTGGATCAGAACCAGGGTCTGGACCAGATCCTGGGTCCTGGATCAGAACCAGGGTCTGGACCAGATCCTGAAGAGGTGAACACGATCCAACTAGTTTCAACATTTCTGCAAGATTCTGTGAAAACATCTTGTAGAGAAAATAAAAATCAGACTGAGCAGAACTTCCTGTTTTTATATAATAAAACAAACATTTGAATAATGTTTCCGATGAGCACGTGATGTTTCATGTGTTAACTCCGAGCTGAACACATGAATTTATTTGACAGGAACTGTGTTTTGTGCTGGAGGCTCAGCCCAGCGGGACGCCGCGCAGAGCCTCCCCGGGTTACTCACGCTGAAGGCGGGCAGCTGTCCGTCGCTGCTCCGCTGCAGGTCTCGGATCAGTTCGATGGCTTTCTCACAGAACATCCTGGAGCTTCTGGGTCCGAACCGAGACACAACTGTACCGCTAAATGTGTCGCGAAAACACGGGTCAGACAGGACGACATTCGCGGTAAAAGTTGTGTTGTGATCACGTGACTCGGCGACGGGTGCAGCTTCAGGACAAAAAGAGTTTCAGCTCGTTGCGCTTCTACAGGTAAAATTGTTTTCTTCCGGTCTGGAGGCAGACAATGATGTTGATTTGTGTTCTCTTTATCCCTCTCTCTCTCCTCTATTCCCATCTCCTTCTTTACATTTTAACTCTTCTCTCACTTTTCTGCTTTGTTATCTTTGTTTTCCATCCCCATGTCCATTACATCTGGAACAAACCCAAAGCAAATTCTAATAAAATTTAATTTATATATCAAGCAGAGCATTAAGGCCAGCCAGAATGCTCTGCTTGTGAAAGTAAATCTGTTGGGCATCACTTTGACGCTCAGACAATAATTCGAAGTGTCACAATGCCGGACAGAACAAGGGAGAAAATAATAATAATAATTGTTTTCTTCCGTTTTTAGAAGAAAAATCAGCAGATTTGAAAAAAAAACAAAAAACGATTTAAATTACTTTGAAAAATGTTATAAATGAAATTAATTTTATAAATGTTGTAAATAAAATAAATGTTATAAGCGAAATAAATGAAATGTTGTAAATTAAATTCATTCAACCTTTATTTAGACAGTAAATCCCATTGAGCCTCGAGGACTCATTTACAAGAGACCTGGTTTCAACAAAGAATGATGACAACAATGGACAACAGCGACAACAATAGACTGTTATAAAAAGGCATACAGATTTATTTTAAATTTAATTTATTTATTTATTTATCATTTACCCTTTGAGAACTTACTCACTCACACTGGTGGGGGTTAAGGGCTTTGTTCAGGGGCCCAGGGTGGGTGATTGAGGGTGGAGGCAGGTGTGGGTGTTTCACCTTTTCCACACACTTTTTGATGTTGACGGTACCAGGAGTTGAACCTATGACTTTCCGATCACAGGCCCATCTCCTCTAACCTCTGCGCCACCACTCCCCAAATAAATGTTATAAACGTTTTCAATAAAAAAAATGTTGTAACTTATAAATGCTATAAGTGTAATAAATGTTTGTACAGGCGCTGTGGCTGAGTGGTTAGAGCAGTCGCCCTCCAGTGGGAGAGTTGGGGGTTTGATTCCACCAGCAGTCACATGCTGAAGTGTCCCTGGGCAAGACACTGAACTCCTCATTGCCTCTGTGTGTCCCATCAGTCCATGAATGTGATAAAGCTCTGATTATTCTTTGTACAGATCTAGTAGAGAGCTGTATGAATGGGTCAACGAGGACACAGATTGTGTTGTAAAGAGCTTTGAGTATCTTGATCAGACAGAAAGGTGATAGTCCATTTATCATTTACATCCATCCATTATCTTTTACCCGCTTCTTCCATTTTGGGTCACGGGGGTCGCTGGTGCCCATGTCCATCAATCACTGTGCGAGGGTCTCCAGTCCATCACAGGGACACATAGAGACAAACGACACAAACAACCATTCACTCTCTCATTCACACCTAGGGACAATTTAAAGTTACCAATCAGTCTAACATGCATGTTTTTGGACTGTGGGAGGAAACTGGAGTACCCGGAGAAAACCCACACATGCACGGAGAGAACATGTAAACTCCACCCAGAAAGGCCCCTGGACCGGGATTTGAACCAGAGACCTGCTCGCTGAGAGGCAGCAGCTCTACCAGTTGCGCCACCGTGCTGCCTTGGACTAGATATCACGGATTAATTTGATAAAACTAGTAAAATATTAAAAGTAGAATGCAGAAACTGATCAAACAAAAGAAATTCTGGTAAAACATCAACAGCTCTTATTTATGAACAGTTTTCCGTGAACCCTGGTCCGGACCAGCTGAGGTCCAGATGTGTCTGTAAGTGTTTGTTTACTTTGGATTATTGTTTACATGAAACCTGTTTCAGGATAAAATCAGTCTGAAGGAAACTCTCTGTCTGGCTGATTGAAGTTTTCTGGACATGTATTTTCACGAAAAGCATTTAATTATTTTTTTCATATTTTATTGTAAATTGTAAGCAGCTCAAATGTTAAATCAATAAAACAATGAGGTATTTCTGTCAGTTCAGAGAACTTGTTTCAACAAAAGTATATTGTATTTTTACTTTGTTTTGATTTAACTGAGTCTTTGTAGTTGCATAAAATTTCCGAGCTGTACTTTAAAGCACCATGCCCCCTCCGATAAACCGGTTTGGTTTTGTACTTCGTTGCTCCGACGCTTCCCTGGAGACCATGGAGGCAGCACGGCTGGGCACGTGACGTAAATGCAGCCCTTTGATTGGTTGCATGGGATCAGCTGCTCTCTGCGGATCTCCTCGCAGCTTCAGGGGGACTGGGCTCCTGTCTTACCCGGTCCTCAGTGCGCTGTCCCCCGTCAGGCTCACGGCCTCCTCCCCGCTGTCAGGCTCGTGTTTCAGCCTGGTGACCTCGGTGTTTCTCCTCCGGTTTACTCGCTGTTCTCTTCCGGTTTCCAGTGATGAGAAGGCGGAACTGTCTACCCGCGGAGAAGGACAGCGACCCTGAGCTGAAGCTGCATCCCGGCTCAGCAGCGTCTGGGCCGGCAGAGGATCCGAACATGAAGCCGTTCCGGAGGTAAGACCCAGGGAGGTCTGGTCCGGGACCTGTGGGAGGTACTGATCTGCAGGGGCTCTGAGAAACTGGACCATGATCAAAAACGGAACAATCTGACAGGAAAAACAAACAGTTTATGGTTAAAGTTCAGAGTTTTTCATGAAGAATTACAAACGAGAAAATGAGAATGAAGATGAAGCGACAGTTGTTTCTGTTCAGGTCTGGTTCTGGTCAAACGGGTCAGACTGGTTTCTGGGGACAGAAGGACAGGTTGGACCGGCACCTGCAGGTCCAAGTAAACACTGATTCCTGAAAAGCTTTTCGTTGTGAACAGACCCAGATCAGAACATGACAGGTGGTTCTGGATCAGTTTGTTGTTGTTTGTTGGACCAGGGTCTGTAAACAAAAACGGGAAACACAGTCGGTCCTTTTCTACAGATTTTATTTGTTTTAATCGGTTTTATGTCTCAGGAGTTGCAGTCAACAAATTGTTCATTAGTTTGGTGTTTACAGTAAAACAAACCCTTTAGAGTTATCATTCCTCCGAGGTTCCATGAACGTAGCACGATGTGGATTTAAACCTGCAGCTTTATTGCTCAGGTGTTTCAGGACAAACAGCTTCAGCTGAGCTTCTGTGTCACATTCATGATTCACTCCATACAGTCGAACAGAACCACATCAGAACCTCCAGCAGGAACGCTGAGCTCTGACTGTTGGTACCAGAACATCCTGTGATGGAGTTAAAAAACATTAAAACAGTGAAAAATGTCTCCACACACATCAGTGGTGTTCAGTTAAATCCAGTCCTGTTTGGACCTCCAGCTCAGACTTCAGAACCATCATCCAGAGTTTAAACGGGTCACAGGAAGTTGGACTTTCCAGAAATAATTTCCAAACAGGAAGTGAGGGCTCTTTTTAACATACCGGTAGAACCTTGTGGAACCATCAAACAGAACCTGAGGTACCACCAGAACTTTCTGCTGCTCATGGGTCAAGAGGTTCTTTGATCAGACCGTCTGTTTGGGGCTTACTTTTTATTCTGCGGTTCTGTCTAAAGTGCTGCCCTTCTTTATTACCCAGTATGCTTTTCTTCCTCTGTTTCCATCATGGCTGTCCCCACAGATCCTTTATGTCGTCTCTAATCGGACCTGAGATGTTCAGGAGGGTTCAGTCAGGGTGTTGGAGGTTCTGATGTTTCTGCAGAAAGTTTGATTAGAAGAAAACAAATCAAAGATCACTTCAGATGGTCTGATAATCTTCCTCCTCCTCCTGAGTCTGATCCTCTTTAGAGACTCAGCAGTTAAACAGATTAGAACAATGCTGCAGTGCATTGTGGGTCATTATTAACACTGCCCACATCAAAGAACAAACACATTTATAAAGTTTCATGAGAATAAAGGACTTCAGTTCTGTTTAAAGTCCTGGTCCAGTTCTCTGTTCTTCCTGTGGTCCAGACTGTCTGTAGTGTGCTAAAGTGGACTGGATCCATAGTTCTGGCTTTCTGAAGGTCTGGGTTTGGACTGTTCTCCTGGGATGTTCTGCCGGCAGGAAGTGACTTTATTTAACGACCTACAGAACTTTTGTGTTCACATGAAGCAGAGGAAGTGAGTGAAACTCAACCAGACTGAGCATCATGTGACAGGAAGTGACATCAGCATCCAAAATCAGTTTCTGATGCCCCAGAGTACATATCAGTCTGTACTGATCCAGAGTCAGTCTGTACTGATCCAGAGTCAGTCTGTACTGATCCACAGTCTGTCTGTACTGATCCACAGTCAGTCTGTACTGATCCACAGTCTGTCTGTACTGATCCACAGTCTGTCTGTACTGATCCACAGTCAGTCTGTACTGATCCACAGTAAGTCTGTACTGATCCAGAGTCAGTCTGTACTGATCCACAGTCTGTCTGTACTGATCCACAGTCT